TGGGTGTCCCTGCACAGGGGTGAGTGGCCCGTCCCATCCCTCCCCCATCCTGGGTGCCTCTCTCTCTGTGTCTCCCAGTGGGGGGGGGGGGGAGCAGGAGGCCTGGAAGCGGAGTGGAAGAGAAGGAAGGAGACTCCCAAGGAGGCCAGGGCTGCCCCTGAAGGGAAGTGGGTGAGGAGGAGCCCGGGGCTTCTCCTTCTCTCTCCCGGAAGGTCCTCCACATTTATTTATCGTGTCAGGCACAACCAGACCATTGTATTACATTTCTAACAGAACAAAACAAACAAACAGATTTTTTTTAAAAAAACCCACAAAGTTTGCAAGCTTGGTAGTTGATTAAATGTCCTTTGACCAGTATCTGGCCACTTGGAGTGCCTCTGGTGTTGCCTAAGGAGATCCTCCATCGTGCATGTGCTCAGGTTGCATTGCAGCAGGTGGTCAGTGATTTGCTCTTCTTGCATGTCGTGGACTCCACTTTGTAGCCCCATTTCTTAAGATTGGCTCTGCATCTCATGGTGCCAGAGCAAAGTCTGTTCAGCGCCTTCCAAGTTGCCCAGTCTTCTGTGTGCCCGGGGGGGAGTTTCTAATTTGGTATTTTATTTATTTATTTATTTGACTTGTATACCGCCACTCCCAATTTGGCTCGGAGCGGTTTACAGCAGTAGATTAAAACAATACAACCAACTTTAAAATACAATAAAAACGAGAACAGACATAGTCCTGAGTTATTCACCCATCGAAAGCTTGTCGGAAAAGAAAGGTTTTACAGGCTTTCCGAAAAGGAAGTAGCTCTCGGATAGTTCGGGTTTCAACTGGCAAGGCATTCCATAAATAAGGGGCCACAATCCAGAAGGTCATTTATTTATTTACTTATTTATTTACCTTACTTAGAATCATAGAATCATAGAATCAAAGAGTTGGAAGAGACCTCATGGGCCATCCAGTTCAACCCCCTGCCAAGAGGCAGGAATATTGCATTCAAATCACCCCTGACAAATGGCCATCCAGCCTTATATACCGCTGTTCTCAGCCCGAAGGCGACTCACAGTAGTTCACAACAAATATGAACAGCAAAAATTCAGTGCAACAGTAGAGAAACAGTTAACAACCTAACACATTACACAATTAATAAACAGTTACTACAATACTCATTCACTGTCGTCTCGTCATCAAAAACATGTTCCAGATTCGTCATCCATTGTTCCATTCCAGTGTTCATTAACCAATCATTGCACTAATTAATCATTTTTAATCATCGGGTTTTTTTAATCATCGGTTTAATCATCTCTCATTTGGTATCAGTCATTGGTTGAGGTGCTGGGTTTGAGCCTGCCACTTTTGGACTCTCGCTTGCTGAGGTGTTCCAGCGAGTGTCTCTGTAGATCTTAGAAAACTATTTCTTGATTTAAGTCGTTGACGTGCTGGCTGATACCCAAACAGGGATGAGCTGGAGATGTCTCTGCCTTGGTCCTTTCACTATTGGCTGCTACTTCCCCGCGGATGTCAGGTGGTGCGATACCGGCTAAGCAGTGTAATTTCTCCAGTGGTGTAGGGCGCAGACACCCCGTGATAATCCGGCATGTCTCTTATTTATTTATTTATTTATTTACTTTGCTTATATACCGCTGTATCTCAAGCCCAAAGGCGACTCACAGCGGTTCACAAACAGTAAAAACAGTAGAAACAGCAGTGGTTCCATGCAACATATAACAATTGACTTAACACATTATCCATAAATTACCAATAAGCAATTACAATGCACAATTATTACAAAAAACAACCGTACCCAATCTTCTCATCATCCAAGCGTAGTCCAGGTGCGTCGTCCATTCTTCCATTCCTATGTTCCATTACCAGATTGCACTAAATTACTCAAACGCCTGCACAAACATCCAGGTCTTCACCTTTTTGCGGAATACCATTAGAGATGGTGCTAGTCTAATGTCCGTAGGAAGGGCGTTCCACAGCCGAGGAGCCACCACCGAGAAGGCCCTATCTCTCATCCCCGCCAGCCGAGCTTGAGAAGCAGGCGGGATCGAGAGCAGGGTCTCCCCGGAAGATCTCAAAGTCCTGGTGGGTTCATAGGCAGAGATGCGGTCAGATAGGTAGCTTGGGCCGGAACCGTTAAGAGCCACATCCACTGTTTTAGCGTGGTGAGATGTGTTCCACACTAGGCATGCGTACTCAGAGTAGCACAGCGCAAGGGCAGATGTCTTCACTGTGTCTGGTTGTGATCCCCAGGTTGTGCCAGTCAGCTTTCGTATGATATTGTTTCTAGCCCACTTTTTGCTTGATGTTCAGGCAGTGCTTCTTGTAGGTCAGAGCACGGTCCAGAGTGACTCCCAGGTATTTGGGTGCGCTGCAATGCTCCAGTGGGATTCCTTCCCAGGTAATAATCCTCAGAGCTCGGGATGCTTGTCTGTTCTTAAGGTGAAAGGCACATGTCTGTGTTTTAGATGGATTAGGGATCAGCTGGTTTTCCCTGTTTTCCCTGTTTGTGGCCCTCCACACAAACAAAAGGCTTCCTGGGGAGCAGAGGCCAGGCTTCCAAAGGGGAAGGAAGGAGACAGGAAGGAAGGAAAGAAGCCCCGCCCCTTCCGGCCAGTGGTGATCACGTCATTTCCTGTCTTCAGGCAGAGGCGCTCATCCATTCCTGCTCCCACCCTTGAAGCTGTGACATGGAAATGGACTCCAGGCAAGCTTGAGGGAGTCTCTAACTGCAGAATTATGGCGTTAAACGGTTTTTAATTGAATGTGACTCATTGGTTTTAAATGTATGTAATTATTTTTATGTATTTAATTATGTATACATTGGAGAGGCATAGAATTGCTCCCTCCTGGATGCCGCCTTGAGTCCCCCCCCCTCCCCAAATTATGATTTTGTCATTTGGGAGTTGTAGTTGCTGGGATTTATAGTTCACCTACAATCAAAGAGCATTCTGAACTCCATCAAGGATGGAATTGAACCAAACTTGGCACACAGAACTCCCATGACCAACAGAAAATACTGGAAGGGTTTGGTGGGCATTGACCTTGAGTTTGGGAGTTGTAGTTCACCTACATCCAGAGAGCACTGTGGACTCAAACAATGATGGATCTGGAACAAACTTGGCACAAGCACTCAATACACGCCCAAATATGCACACAGCTGGAGTTTGGGGGAAATAGAGCTTGAAATTTGGGAGTTGTAGTCACTGGGATTTATAGTTCACCTACAATCAAAGAGCATTCTGAACTCCATCAAGGATGGAATTGAACCAAACTTGGCACACAGTTCTCCCATGACCAACAGAAAATACTATAAGGGTTTGGTGAGCATTGACCTTGAGTTTGGGAGTTGTAGTTCACCTACATCCAGAGAGCACTGTCGACTCAAAGAATGATGGATCTGGACCAAACTTGGCACAAGCACTCAATACACGCCCAAATATGAACACAGATGGAGTTTGGGGGAAATAGACCTTGATATTTGGGAGTTGTAGTTACTGGGATTTATAGTTCACCTACAATCAAAGAGCATTCTGAACTCCACCAAAGATGGAATTGAACCAATCTTGGCACACAGAACTCCCATGACCAACAGAAAATACTGGAAGGGTTTGGTGGGCATTGACCTTGAGGTTTGGAGTTGTAGTTCACCTACATCCAGAGAGCACTGTGGACTCAAACAATGATGGATCTGGACCAAACTTGGCACTCAATATGCCCAAATATGAACACAGATGGAGTTTGGGGGAAATAGACCTTGATATTTGAGAGTTGTAGTCACTGGGATTCACAGTTCACCTACAATCAAAGAGCATTCTGAACCCCACAAATGACAGAATCGGGGCAAACTTCCCACACAGAGTCCCCATGACCAACAGAAAATACTTAAGGCCATCCAATCCAACTCCCTTCATCAGGGCAAGAAAATGTAATCAAAGTCCTCCTGACAAAGAGCCATCCAGCCATAGATAGATATAGATAGATAGATAGGGAATTGTAATTGCTGCGATTATGGTTCGCCTACAATCAAATAGCATGATAGAATTGAAACAACCGAGGCATACAGGGCTCCCATTACCAACAGAAAACACTAGAAGGGTTTGGTGAGCATTGACCTTGAGTATGGGAGTTGTAGTTCACCTACATCCAGAGAGCACTGTGGACTCAAACAATGATGGATCTGGACCAAACTTGGCATGAATACTCCATATTCCCAAATATGAACACAGATGGGTTCTTGTGGGTTTTTTCGGGCTATAGGGCCATGTTCTAGAGGCATTTCTCCTGACGTTTCGCCTGCATCTATGGCAAGCATCCTCAGAGGTAGTGAGGTCTGTTGGAATTAGGACAATGGGTTTATATATCTGTGGAATGGCTGGGGTGGGGCAAAGAGCTCTTCTCTGCTGAAGCTAGGTGTGAATGTTTCAGCTGACCACCTTCATTAGCATTTGAAGGCCTGGCTGAGCCTGGGAAAATCTGTTGAGAGGTGTTAAGATGTGCCTGGTTGTTTCCTCTCTGCTGTTTTGCTGTTGTAATTTTAGAGTGTTTTAATACTGGTAGCCAGATTTTGTTCATGTTCATGGTCTCTTCCTTTCTGTTGAAATTGTCCACATGCTTGTGGATTTCAATGGCTTCTCTGTGTAGTCTGACATGAGTGGTCCAGCATTTCTGTGTTCTCAAATAATATGCTGTGTCCAGGCTGGTTCATCAGGGGCTCTGCTATGGCTGACTTCTCTGGTTGAAGTAGTCTGCAGTGCCTTTCATGTTCCTTGATTCGTGTTTGGGCAATGCTGGCTGCGTTTGGTGGTCCCTATGTAGACTTGTCCACAGCTGCATCGTATACGGTAGACTCCTGCAGAAACAAGAAAGCCTTCCACAATACAGAGAAGCAGGTTATTTGCGGAGGTGGGCTCATTATAGCGGAGGTTGTGGAATCAACATTCATAACAAAATATTATCCCGCCTTGATGGTATTCACATGAACTCATTCATCTTATTTTGTTTGCAGGCCCCACAAATCCTCCCAGTCCTTCCACTTTGAATGTCACTGGAGGGAAGAGGTGAACACATTTTGATCCACTTTGAAGGCAGCCTAGAAGTGGAGGACCAAGATGGAAGGGCAAGAGCCAGCTCTTGCCCAGATAGAAGTATTTCCTTCTGCTGTTGAGGCAGAGAACAATAGAACACTATGGGAGGACCCTTGGAAGAAAGACCGGGAGAGCAGTCTGCTCCACTCAGACCTTCAGTGCCAGAGCTTCAGACAGTTCACCTACCAGGAGGCCTTGGGGCCCCGAGAGGCCTGCAGCCGCCTCCACTCTCTCTGTTGCCTGTGGCTGAAGCCCGAGCGACACTCCAAGGCGGAGATGTTGGATCTGGTGATCCTGGAGAAGTTCCTGGCCGTCCTTCCTGCCGAGATGGAGCGCTGGGTGAGGGAATGTGGGGCAGAGACCAGTTCCCAGGCCGTGGCCTTGGCTGAAGGCTGCCTCCTGAGTCAGGAAGAGGAGAGGAAGCGGGACAAGCCCCAGGTGAGAAAGGTTCATCTTGTAGTTTCAGGGAACCAGGAATAATTGATTTGAAGGATAATATAAAACTTTTCTGAACTCCTCAGCCTGGGATTATCGCATTTCACTTTCAGAACCGCTGTGAGTCGCCTTCGGGCTGAGAACAGCGGTATATAAGTAAGGTAAATAAATAAATAATAAATAAATGTGGCTAACTTTAAGAATAATAGAAACAAGATGGAATGAGTTCAGGGAAGGATTAGGAAAGGCAGACCCAGGTGTGTTCACCCTGAAAAAGAGACTAGGGGTGCCCTGACTGCCCCCTTTGCACCCCACAAGGGCTCTCACGGAGAGGAGGGGGCAGTCATCTCCATTCCCCAGGGTGGTATAACCAGGTGTAATGATCTGTAGTTATAGAGTGGTAAACTTTGAAGGTTAAAAGGAATGTATTGAGAATTCCAGTGGTGTGTATTTCAGAGGAAGCATCTGGCTGAACCTTCCCCAAGAAACTATTATTATTATTATTATTATTATTATTAGCTTTATTTTTTACCCCGCTAGCATCTCCCGAAGGACTCGATGTGGCTTACACAGGCCAAGGCCTCAAAACACAACATAACAATACAAAACCTGAAGCAAATTAAAAACAGTTAAAGCAATATTAAACAACAAGCAATAAACAATACACCAAGACACGATAAAACTGGGCCGGGCCAGAGTAATGGGTACAGGATTAAAAGTGCTGATGTGACAGGTGATATGTAAGGATTATAGGGTAAGTGCAGTGTGCCAGCAATCTTAATTTCTACTAAAGTGCTTCTGGGACTTGTTGGAGTTTTCCTATTCTGGAAAGGCACATCGGAACAGCCAAGTCTTCAAGTTCTTCCTAAAGACTGCCAACGTAGGGGCCTGTCTAAGATCTTTGGGGAGGGTGTTCCAGAGTCGGGGGGCCACCACAGAAAAGGCCCTGTCTCGCGTCCCCACCAAACGCGCCTGCAACGCAGGCGGAATCACGAGCAGGGCCTCTCCGGATGAACGAAGTGAGCACGTGGGTTCATAAACGGAGATGCGGTCACGCAGGTAGGCAGGTCCCAAACCGTTTAGGGCTTTGTAGGTAAGCACCTGCACCTTAAATTGGGCTCGAAAATAAACGGCAGCCAGTGGAGCTCCTTGAACAGGAGGGTTGACCTCTCTCTGTAAGGAGCACCAGTTAACATCCTGGCAGCTGCCCGTTGGACCAGTTGAAATTTCCGAGCTGTTTTCAAGGGCAGCCCCACGTAGAGCGCATTACAGTAGTCCAATCTAGAGGTGACCAAGGCATGGACCACCCCGGCCAGATCAGCCCTGTATATTATTCACAGGTAGAGATAATTCAACAGGGACCTGAAAGCACAGATATACAGACTTAGGTTACTCAGCCCGAGAGGCCCTGTAGGGTCGCCCTAAATGACAACCCCCAGATTAAATAAAGTACTTCCTTCATCTCAGCAGTAGCCCTTCCACTTCAGCTTGAGTCCTGAAGCAGAGTGCAGTGCCCAAATGAAGGCAGAATTCCCACACCAAAACCAAGGAAAGGCAGATTCTTGTACAGAATGAAGAAAACAAATCATATTCCAAGTGTTCTGGAACAGGTTGCAGAAAGAGATCCCTCCCTCATTTTAATATCTTTCTTTTTCTTTGTGATCCTTGCCACTTGTTCAGGTGCAGGACTCTTTTGTGAATGAGACCAACCAGGTGGAGGAGTCTCCTTCAGACACCATGTGTGTTGCCCAGACTGGAAATGGAGAACATACCACAGTTGGTAAGGAATGGGCAGTGGTCATGGAATAATAGAATCGTAGAGTTGGAAGAGACCTCATGGGCCATCCAGTCCAACCCGATTTGGCCAAGAAGCAGGAAAATCGTATACAGAGCATCCCCAACAGATGTCCATCCAGCCTCCAAAGAATAATGTGTCCAGAGGAGGGCGACTAAAATGAACAAGGGTCTGGAGGACAAGCCCTATGAGGAGCAACTTAAAGAGCTGGCCATGTTTTCTGCAAGCTAAGCATTCCCAGCTCTTTAAGCCGCTCCTCATAGGTTCCTTCTTGCTTGCTCACATCCAAGAAATGTCTGAACTGTGTGAATTGAAAACAAACAAACAAACAAAACATCGGGGAGCCTGGGAGCTTAAGAAATCTGTTGACAGGAGACATTTACCTGCAATATGTATTTGCGCTACTTTCAGAATTACTTCATTCCTTTGCTTCTCTCTGGATACTTACAGTGGTGAATATGCTCTTTGTTACACTGGCACAAATACAGAAACTAATACGGTCAACCCTCTACATTAATATGATTTATGTTTAAAGTATGGTTTTAATATTGTAGTTGTAAGGCATTGAATTTTTGCCATTATCTACGTGAAAACCGCTTTGAGTCCCCCTAGGGGTGAGAAAAGTGGTATATAAATGCTGTAAATAAATAATAATAATAAATATATTTCCTGGGATTATATCGCAACATCCCCATAAAACAAAATAGTCCACATTGAAGACCAAAGACCTGAGATCAAAATCCAAAGAGGGTCCATGGGGCAAGGGGAGGGCGGCAGGCTTCCAAGGGAAGGAACTGTGGGGCAGCCTGGAAAAGGGACCGATCTCACTCTCCCCGGTGCCTTTCCTCTCTTTCACAGGCAGTGAAACACGGCCAAGTGACAGTAACACAACTTTCCATGATTCTTTCGTAAGAGGAGATTCCGTGGTACCAAATCAGGTAGGCAGCAGGATCCCTGGCGCACGGGGGTGGGGGAGCCTCTCTTCTCCATTCTTTCAATCCAAGATGTTTTCAATGAATGACTTATGCAAAGACATAAATCACAAAGGCCTGTTTTTCTTCCCTCTTGGGTGGCATTTTCTCCTTGCAAATAAATTTTTTTCCCCTTCAGGTGACTTTTGAAGATGTGTCTGTGGATTTCTCAGAGGATGAGTGGGCCCTCTTGGATCCAAGCCAAAAAGCCTTGCACCAGCAAGTCATGGAGGAGAATTTAGGGAACGTGTCATCTCTGGGTAAAATGTCATTATGCTTGTATTTAACCAAATCTGTTTACAAGATCTAAAAATAATCCAGTGTTTCAAATCTCTTCCTCCGGAGCCATAGGAAACAAGCTCATTCCATAACCCATATGGATGGCAGCCCAAGAAAGGAATTGGCACTTTGCTGGAGTTGCCATATTGTATGAAATTTAGGCATATGATTATTTTCCATCCACCAGCCATGCTTGGGATGGTGGTGGGAGAGTGAGAAGGGCTTCTGAGGATGCTAGTACCCAGGTAGGTTAGAACAAGGAGATTTTATTTATCGTGTCAGGAGCAACCAAACAGTTGTATTACATTTTTAACAAAACAAACAAACAAACACAAAGTTTGCAAGCTTGGTAGTTGATTAAATGTCCTTTGACCAGTATCTGGCCACTTGGAGTGCCTCTGGTGTTGCCGCAAGAAGGTCCTCCATCGTGCATGTGGCAGGGCTCAGGTTGCATTGCAGTGGTTTGCTCTTCTCCACACTCGCATGTTGTGGACTCCACTTTGTGGCCCCATTTCTTAAGATTGGCTCTGCATCTCGTGGTGCCAGAGCGCAGTCTGTTCAGCGCCTTCCAAGTCGCCCAGTCTTCTGTGTGCCCAGGGGGGAGTCTCTCATTTGGTATCAGCCATTGATTGAGGTTCTGGGTTTGAGCCTGCCACTTTTGGACTCTCGCTTGCTGAGGTGTTCCAGCGAGTGTCTCTGTAGATCTTAGAAAACTATTTCTTGATTTAAGTCGTTGACGTGCTGGCTGATACCCAAACAGGGGATGAGTTGGAGATGTCTCTGCCTTGGTCCTTTCACTATTGGCTGCTACTTCCCGGCGGATGTCAGGTGGTGCAATACCAGCTAAACAGTGTGATTTCTCCAGTGGTGTAGGGCGCAGACACCCCGTGATAATGCGGCATGTCTCATTAAGAGCCACATCCACTGTTTTAGCGTGGTGAGATGTGTTCCACACTGGGCATGCATACTCAGCAGCAGAGTAGCATAGCACAAGGGCAGATGTCTTCACTGTGTCACCAAGGAGATACAATCACTCGAATAGCGTGGACCTGAGCCATATAGCCAAATCGAGAGCCCGTGGAGCCATGGCAACAAAAGACTTGTGTCCTCTCTGTAACCAGCCTTAGTGAACAGTCTGACTGTAGCTCTTTGGATCGGCCAAAGCTTTTAAAAAACGTCTAAGGCTGCTCCAAGTAGAGTGATTATAGTAATCCAAATGGGATGTAACTCACACCAAGGACAGATCTGAGTTTTCAAGGAACAGGTGTAGTTGGTGCTTTGTGTCTTCTGCATATAGATGGCGCTGCACTCCAAAGCTTTGAACAACCTCTCTCATATATATGTTAATTGCATAGGGGACAAAACAGATGTCCAAGGAATACCACCGTTAATGATATTGAGAACTGCTGGAATGTTCAGTTAAATCAATAGGGATGCATTTTCCACCTCTGTCCAGGTCCCTCTATAAGTCATCAACCAGGGTTACCAAAGCAGCCTGTCCCATAAGCAAGTTTCTTGGAGTGTATCAACCCACTGTAATTCAGCCTCTCTTTTCCTGCTGTCTTCCACTTTGCAGAACATTATTATATTTTCCAGTGAGGTGCAGTAGCTCATGTTTATGTCCAAAGTAGGATGGCCTTAGTTTGGCCCCTTCAACTCTCTAGTGAGAATTTAGACAGTAGTCAAATTCACTCCCGTTCATGCTCTGTGCAGCCACCAGGAGAGAGAGGGGTTGAAAGTGAAGAGAAGTGAATCAATGTGCACACACCACTTTTCTCCATCTATATAGTCACCTATTTTCATCTTTGGAGCCAAAGCCGCTAGAGGAGTGACCTTTTATTTTAAATCTAGCCAGTATTTTAAGTTGGTTCATGAAGAGTTTGAATTAGGTCTAGCAAGCTATTTTAGAGACTTTTCAGTCCATGCATACACACTTTGACTTGTGTATATATAGATTTCTAAATACACAAAAATTAATATAATATATACCAGTCCATGATGTTAAGTTCACCTACCTTTGTGGCATCAGGCAGATCAAGGATTCTTACCTTTCTTGAGCCAGAAGTACAGAGGATTCCAGAAAAACTTAGCCCAACAGCTCTATTTTCCCTAGCCCTGGTTTTCAGTTATGATTTCCTTTGTTACTTATATCTTGGTATAATATTTAGAGCAAAGACAAAATATATTTTCCCTTAACACCCAGTGTTGGAAAAGACAATGGGAAAGAGCTGTCTCGTCTAAATGTATTTTATAATTTGTATACTTTTAAACTTTAATCTAATCTAAGCTTTTCTTTTCAACACATGATCACACTTCCCTTGTTCTCAACCATGCAAATAGAGGAGACACCATTTAAATATTTGGAATTTGGAATGAATTTTAATTGGAAGGAAGTACCCACCTTTTGTCAAGAAACTCACACGAGGGATAAGCCATTTAAATGCTTGCAGTGTGAAAAGAGCTTCAGTCAGAAATCAAAGCTTGTTAGTCATCAGACAACTCACACAGGAGAGAGACCTTTTAAATGCTTGGAGTGTGGAAAGAGTTTCCGTCATAAGGCAAACCTTGTTATGCATCAGAGAAACCACACAGGAGAAAAGCCATTTAAATGTTTCGACTGTGAAAAGAGCTTCAGTCAGAAAATAGACCTTGCTCGTCATCAGGCAACTCACACAGGAGAGAGACCATTTAAATGCTTGGTATGTGGAAATAACTTCCGTCAGAAGGCACACCTTGTTCGTCACCAGGCAGTTCACACAGGAGACAAGTCGTTTAAATGTTTGGAATGTGGAAAAGGTTTCTCTCTGAAGTTAGGCCATGTTTATCATCAGGCAGTTTGCACAGGAGAAAATCCATTTAAATGCTTGCAGTCTGAAAAGAGCTTCAGTCACAAGTATGTCCTTATTCATAATCAGGCAACTCATACAAGAGAGAAACCATTTAAATGCTCAGAGTGTGGAAAGAGCTTCATTCAGAAGGGGGGCCTTGTTAATCATCAGGCAACTCACACAGGAGAGAGACCATTTAAATGCTTGGAGTGTGGAAAGAGCTTCAGTCAGAAGGGGAGCCTTGTTAATCATCAGAAAATTCACACAGGAGTGAAGCCATTTAAATGCTCAGAGTGTGGAAAGAGCTTCGGTCGAAAGGCGCATCTTGCTTCTCACCAGGCAACTCACACAGGAGAAAAACCATTTAAATGCTCAGAGTGTGAAAAGAGCTATAGTCGAAAGAGAACCCTTATTTGTCACCAGGCAACTCACACAGGAGAAAAGCCATTTAATTGCTCAGAATGTGGAAAGAGCTTCAGTCAGAAATCATACCTTGTTTGTCATCAGGCAACTCACAGAGGAGAAAAACCAGAGTGTGGAAAGAGCTTCAGTCAAAAGGCACATCTTGCTTCTCACCAGGCAACTCGCACAGGAAAAAAGCCATTTAAATGCTCAGAGTGTGAAAAGAGCTATAGTCGAAAGACATATCTTGCTTGTCACCAGACAACTCACACAGGAGTAAAGCCATTTAAATGCTTGCAGTGTGAAAAGAGCTTCAGTCAAAAGAGAAACCTTATCAGTCATCAGGCAACTCACACAGGAGAAAAGCCATTTAAATGCTCAGAATGTGAAACTAGCTTCAGTCGGAAATCTTACCTTGTTTGTCATCAGGCAACTCACAGAGGAGAAAAACCAGAGTGTGGAAAGAGCTGCAGGTGAAATACAAACCTTCTTTTTTAATTGTCAACCCACATGGAGTAAATGGGGTGAAATCAAGTTCCCTCATTTTACATCAAAGAAGGCATGAATCTTTGTCATAGAAACACTGAGTTAAAAAGCCATGGTTTTTGGGGAAAATAATAACCTGATCAATTTTCAACCTGATGAAAGATCTCATTAAATATAAGTGATAATATTTTGAGAGCTAAAGGAAGGATGTTTCAGGGTTTTTTTTAAAAAAAAATCCATTTGTGCATACTGCTTACTGCAAATGTTTCCTGTCATGTATTTTCAGGGTTAAAATATATTTAATTGAGAAGTTTGGGAATAGGTTTGACTAATGACTAACATCCCTGTGTATCATTCAATTGTATGTATGTGATGGGGGGGTTTTCTTTTATGAAATATCTAATAAAGCATAACTGATTATTTGTTTTCTATTCAATCCATGCATACTGGTTGCTATTAATATTTCTTGCCCTTTCTATAACATATAAATAATAAAAAAATATTAGAAGTTTTTGTGTATGTATTCAATCTCAAAAAATACATGTTGTTTCTTAAAATATATTGTTGCTTATTCGTTCAGCCATTTCCAATTCTTCATGACCTCATGGACCAGCCCATGCCAGAGCTCCCTGTCGACTGTCGCCATCCCCAGCTTCTTCAAGGTCAAGCCAGTCACTTCAAGGATAACATCCATCCATCTTGCCTTTGGTCATCCCCTCTTCCTTTTTCCTTCCATGTTCCCCAGCAAAGTGGCCAAAGTACTTCATCTTTGTATTGGCGAAGGCTTTCATGGCTGGAATCACACAGTTCTTGTGGGTTTTTTTGGGCTATATGGCCATGTTCTAGAGGCATTTCTCCTGATGTTTCGCCTGCATATATGGCAAACATCCTCAGAGGTGAGGTCTGCTGGAACTGGGAAAAAAGGGGCTGCAAGACCAAGAACAAGCCACGAGAGTCAAGATGAAGATCCACCCAGAGGAAAAGTGTTCCTGCCATACATCAAGGGAATCACTGACTGCATAGGAAGCTGATGAGGAAACACAACATACAAACAATCTACAAACCCACCAAGAAAATCCAACAAATGCTACGTTCAGCAAAGGACAAGAGGGATCCTCTCACCTCTGCAGGAGTCTACCGTATACCAGGCAGCTGTGGACAAGTCTACATAGGGACCACCAAATGCAGCGCCCAAACACGAATCAAGGAACATGAAAGGCACTGCAGACTACTTCAACCAGAGAAATCAGCCATAGCAGAGCACCTGATGAACCAACCTGGACACAGCATTTTATTTGAGAACACAGAAATGCTGGACCACTCTCACAACCACCATGTCAGACTACACAGAGAAGCCATTGAAATCCACAAACATGTGGACAATTTCAACAGAAAGGAAGAAACCATGAAAATGAACAAAATCTGGCTACCAGTATTAAAAAACTCTAAAATTGCAACAGCAAAACAGCAGAGAGGAAACAGGCAGGGACATCTATCACCTTTCAAGAAGAGTTTGTTCCAGGCACAGTCAGCCCATTGTATGCTAATCAAGGTGGTCAGTTGAAAGATCCACACCTAGCCCAACTTACAAAAGCCCTTTGTCTCACCCTGGTCATTCCACAGATATATAAACCCCCTTTTTTCCCAGCTCCAGCAGACCTCACCTCTGAGGATGCTTGCCATAGATGCAGGCGAAACGTCAGGAGAAATGCCTCTAGAACATGGCCATATAGCCCGAAAAAACCCACAAAACTGAGTACTTCATCTTTGCCTCTAATATCCTTCCCTCCAGTGAGCAGTTGGGCTTTATTTCCTGGAGTATGGACTGGTTGGATCTTCTCGCGGTCTAAGGCACTCTCAGGATTTTCTTCTAGTACCACAGTTCAAAAGCATCTATCTTCCTTCACTCAGCCTTCCCTAAGGTCCAGTTCTTGCACCCATAGGTCATTATGGGGAATACCATTGCTTGGACTATGCAGATCTTCGTTGCCAGTGTGATGTCTCTACTCTTCACTATTTTATTAAAATTGGTCATTGCTCTCCTCCCAAGAAGTTAACATCATCTGATTTTCTGGCTTCAGTCTGTGTCTGCAGTAATCTTTGTGCCTAGAAATACACAATCTGTCAGTGCCTCCACATTTTCTCCCTCTATTTGCCAGTTATAAATCAGTCTGGTTGCCATCATCTTGGTTTTTTAAAATGTTTACCTGCAACCCAGCTTTCTTCTTTCACCTTGCTTATGAGACTCCTCAGCTCCTCCTCGCTTTCAGCCATCAAAGTGGTATCATCTGCATATCTAAGGTTGTTAATGTTTCTTCCAGCAATTTTAACCAGCCTTGGATTCATCAAGCCCTGCACGTCGCATGATGTGGTCTGGGTGCAAGTTGAATAGGTTGGGTTTTTGTTGTGTCAGGAGCGACTTGAGGAACTGCAAGTCGCTTCTGGTGTGAGAGAATTGGCCGTCTGCAAGGACGTTGCCCAGGGGATGCCCGGATGTTTTGATGTTTTATCATCCTTGTGGGAGGCTTCTCTCATGTCCCCGCATGAGGAGCTGGAGCTGATAGAGGGAGCTCATCCGCCTCTCCCCGGATTCAAACCTGCGACCTGTCGGTCTTCAGTCCTGCCGGCACAGGGGTTTAACCCACTGTGCCACCGGGAGCTAAATAGGTTGGGTGAGAGGATACAACCCTGCCGTACTCCTTTCCCAATCTTGAACCAGTCTGTTGTTCCGTGGTCTGTTCTTACTGTTGCTACTTGGTCCTTCTCCAGATTCCTCAGGAGACAGACAAAGTGACTTGGGTCTCCCCATACCAACAAGAACTTGCCACAATTTATTATGATCTGCACAATGGAAAGCTTTAAATCTTATATAAATAAAAATGTAATGTTCGTTTGTGGGATTAACATATCTTAAAAATCACTGGACCAACTGACACCAAATTTGGACACTATATCCCTAACAACCCAATGAGTGACCATCACTCATAAAAGCACTGAAAAACACAGTGGAAGAGACTTAAAAAGCCAAAAAAATACATTACAATGCATGTGCAAAACCACATATACACAAATATATACACACATATATACACACACAAAACACATACACAGACTGGGCCACAGCGTGGCAGGGGACAGCTAGTAGTCAATAAAACAAACAGATTTTTTCTGAAACTCCCTGCTTTTCTCCATTATCCAGTGGATATTGGCAATTTGGTCTCTTGTTCCTCTGCTTTTTCTAAAGCCAGCTTGTACATCTGGCAACTCTTGCTCTATGTATTGGTGGAGTCTTCCTTGCAGGATCCTGAGCATTACCTTACTGGCATGTGAAATAAGTGCCACTGTACAAAAGTTTGAGCATTCTTTAGAGTTTCGCTTTTTTATATTGGAATATAAGTGGATTTTTTCCCCAATCTGATGGCCATTCTTGTGTTTTCCATATTTGCTGGCATATGGCAATGCATCACTTTAACAGCATCCTCTTTCAAGATTTTAAACAGTTCAGCTGGGTTCCCTTTGTCTCCTGCTGCATTTTTATTAGCAATGCTTCAACCTCACTCCTCAGGATGTCTGGGTCTAATTCACTCACCACACCATGAGAGCTATCCTCGATATTATTATCCTCTTCTGTATAGTCTCGCCACTTTCTCCTGATCTCTTCAGCTTCTGTCAAGTTCTTGCCATCTTTGTTTTTGATCATGCCAATTTTTGCCTGAAATTTACCTCCAATGTTTCTACTTTTTTGGAAGAGGTCGCTTGTCTTTCCTATTCTATGGTCTTCTTCCACTTCCATGCAATTCAAAGTGCTGGTTTTGACCTATATCAAGCCCTATACATTTCTAGCCCAGTTTACTTGTCTGAATGTATCTCCCTCTATGACCCACCGTGGAGTTTATGATTGTCAGGGGAGGCCCTGCTCTCAATCCCGCCACCCTTGCAAGTGTGATTGGTGAGGATGAGAGACAGGGCCTTCTTGGTGGTGGACCCCCATCTATGGAATGCACTCCCCAGTGAAATCAGGACTACTCCCTCTCTTTGAACTGTGGCAGAAAACAGACTGTCAGCTGGTGAAGCAGTTGTAATGGGGGTTGTGTGCCCCGTGCGTCCAGCTGTCCTTATGGTTAACTGTTATTTATTTATTTATTTTGTATTAAAAGCATTGCATAAATTAGTATAATTTTAAATTGCATAAATTAGTATAACTAAAAGAACAATTTTGCTAAAGCTTTTTGAACCAGCTGAATAATAATAATAATAATAATAATAATAATAATACACTTTATTATACCTTGCCCCATCTCCCTGAGCGGACTCGGGGAGGCTTACAACATAAATACAATGCATAATATACGCAAAGTAAAAATAAACCAGATAATAAGATGACACTGAAGAATGTCACTAAAGCAGTGGTTCTCAACCTGTGGATCTCCAGGTGTTTTGGCCTCCCAGAAATCCAATTTACCGGCTCTTAGGATTTTTGGGAGTTGGAGGTCAAAACATCTGGG